CTGCCTCCCAAGTGCTGGGATTAAAGGTGTGCTCCACCACCACCCGGCCTTCTGCTTTCATTTTCTTTAGGACCTACCTTCCCCCTTGTAGGCTTTAACTCCCTTTTGTGAGAATGTGAAACATGTCCCTGGTTCTGAAATGACAACCAAAGGAGAGCCCAGGAAAGGGCATTCTTCTCTGACTCTGTCATTCCAGAGCTGAACCAGCTCATCTTTCTTGTCACAGATCCCAGCATGGTCAGTGCCTACATGTACCCAACAGGTGCCCCTGCGGCACAAGCAGCCCCACAGGCCCAGGCGGGGCCCACCACCAGCCCTGCCTACTCTTCCTACCAGCCCACTCCAACCCCAGGCTACCAGGTATGTGGGCAAGGTCATCCTCTGTCCTCTGCTCCCAGCCCTTGCCTGTCCCTCACATCCACCCCTTCCTTCCATAGACTGTGGCTTCTCAGGCTCCGCAGAGCCTCCCAGCCATCTCCCAGCCTCCACAGACCAGCACCATAGGCTACATGGGGAGCCAGCCAATGTCCATGGGTTACCAGCCGTACAACATGCAGGTAAAGAGACCCCGTCTCTGCCGGGCATAAGAGGACGGATCCTCCCCTTCTAGGCTCTCACTTTTGTTTTCTTCAAGCCAGAAGGGTCTGTGTGTGTCTCTCTGGTCACAGACTACTCAGTGTCCATCTTACTCTCCACAGAGTCTCATGACCACCCTTCCAGGCCAGGATGCATCTCTGCCAGCCCAGCAGGCCTACATCGCAGGGCAGCAGCCCATGTACCAGCAGGTGAGCCATCTCCAGGGCCCTTCCCCAGCCCTTGAACTCTTGGGTGTCCTTTGATCACCTGCATTAGGTTCATACCCAGGGGCTTTTTTCAGCCATCAGTGCAAACACATACATCCATATGCATGCATAGGAGAAGACAGATTTACAGGAGCCTCATGAGTGCACTGGCAGTGTGGGCAACAAGCGGAAGCCTACTCTGTGCTAGGATGAAGCTTGTTCTGAACAAAAGCTCTGTGTGTGAGATTGATGAGGCCTGTCTGCTCTTCCTCCTCTCCAGATGCCACCCTCTGCTGGCCCTCCCCAGCAGCAGCCCCCTGTGGCCCAGCCACCACCTACACAGGGACCGCCAGCACCGGGCAGTGAAGCCCAGCTCATCTCATTCGACTGACCTTGAGTCTAGCACTCACCATCCAGAGTAACACTACGGTTCACCAGAAACCAATTATGTGTCTAAGTAGCCATCTCTTCCCCCATTACTGCCCTATAGTCTCCATTCTCCTGTGAGCAAGGAGTGGCCCTTCACCCTTGACCCTCTCCCATGTCCTCAGTGGTCTGGTTCCTGTCACTGGTTCCCTGCTTTGATCCTGATGCAGTCTGACTTTTCCCAAGGCTGGGACTCTGCAGGGCAAGTAGGACCTTCTCTGGGGAGTATCCAGCTCTGTGTTGGGCCTGCCTCAGGTGACTGCTGTGGGGATGCTTAGCCTGTCCCAGAGAGCCCTATGTGAACTGTGTGGTATCCAGGCATGGCTCTGGTACTCTGAAAGAAACATTTGCTCCAGCACAGCACAGGTGGAGGCTTCAGGCATCTCTAGCTTCCCTGCTCCTCAGTTGTCATCTCTCCAGTGCAGAACAGTGATAATAAAGTGTATTTCAAAAGCTGTCATGTGTGTCTGTTCAGTTTTGGACCAGAATGTGAGGGTACTTTTCATTGCCGATAGTTCTAGAGTTTGGGAGGTGCTGGTCACGAAGCCTTGGGAAGGTCTCCTTGCTGGTGGGGACTCTATTGATTCACATGGCACAGAATATCACCCAGTAGTTGAACAAAGGCACAAAAGTGGACTTTTACAGCCATAATGGGTCCCAACCACTGCTTGAGGTTTCACACCCTGGAAAGTCCATTTCCACCTGACTTGTGGTCGGGACATTAAAGCCATCAGTTTCCCTCCAGGCTAAGCACCTGCCTGGTGTGCACTCAAACCTCCCCAGCAGGCATTGGGGAGAGCAGGCATTCGCCTAGGAAAGAGCTCTCCTTGGGCTGGAGAGATGGCTCAGAGGTTAATCTGCTCTTCCGGAGGTCCTGAGTTCAATTCCCAGCAACCACATGGTGG